ATAGACTAGGACTGTTTATTATTTGCTTTTAAGAGAAGTGTTATATATATATATATATAAATATATATAAATAAAAATATATATATATATAAATAAATATATATATATAAATATATAAATAAATATTTGTTATATATATATATATATGTTTTACATATATATATATATATGAATATATATATATATATATATATATAAACTTCTCTTAAAAAGCAAGTGTAATAATAAACATTCTAGTCAATTTGTTACTATTTGTGATTTGGTGTTTATGTGTTTTTGTGTATAGTTCTTGGCATGCCGTATAGATTGGAGGTGGCTCTTGTTTTAGAATATAAGAAGATTTTATCATGGAGTGTTCGATATGAGGTCTGGACATTATTATTTCATCTTTCCTTGTTTGTAATGTTTGATGCCATTCTTCTATATTATGTTTGATGTTGTATAATTTGTTCTTTGGGCAGCCGGATTATAGTTTCTATCATTCTTCTTTGATAAATCTGTTAATGGTTGATCTGAGGTCTGTGAAGGGGAAACTTTGTGTTTGAACTACATTTGGTGGTTGATACCTTTGGTTATTATTTTGCTTATTTTGACTACCGAATCGGCCCTATCTTTGCCCTTGATGCCAATATGGCTACGTATCCAGAAGAAGATGATATCATTATATGTTGACAAATATTCTCTTTAAAAGTTTTATAAATTTATAGTTTATCATTTTTTTGATTTTTGAGTGATATGAGTCCTGACTACGATTCTGAATATATGATTTTTATTTCCTGTTTGACTGCATTTATGATGTCAAGAACTGAATCCATGGCCTTCCCGTTTGATCTGAATATAGAACTATTTTTCGGAAGTGGTCTTATCACATTTCTTTTGCTGTGTATATCTGCGCATCCCACTTTGATATCACCTTTTGATTGATCAGTGTAGACAGGAAGATTTGGTAACCGTCGGTTGGCTTCCTAGAAAAGGAATTACTTATGACACAAGCTAAATTAGAAAAAATCCGTAATAGAAGAAATAACCAAAAATCGAAGAATTTAATGGTTTTGGTAACATAATAATTTTGAAAGAATCAGAAAATTCCTCGTCTTCACATCTTCCAGTTTTCTCCCATTTGAATTATTTTCTCTGGAGTTAATAGAAAGGAAATGAATGCCTCAATAAAGCCTATGAAAGTCTGCTTTTCCAGCACAATACCGGTACAGAAATTTAAGGGCTTCATCCAATGTTACTGGAAAATGCTGTCGGGGAAATCGTCTCTCCGAAGTAAAATATCGAATACATTGAAGCGGCATTAATTTTCTAGTCGCTCTCTTACAGACGTGCCGTCGCTTCCCTCTGTCTTTTCTACAAATATTTTCACGGTAACTGCACCGACGAGCTGGTTCTCAAACTGCATGAATTTAAACGTGTTACTAGGCTGGCGTCTCGGTCCCACCCTATCAATGTCGAAACGGTTAAATATAGCCGTCTCTTCTACACTAATAGCTTCATGTCTCGCACTTCCCGTCTCTCTTCCTCTTACTTGCTTCCTTGATAGCTATAATCTCCAGCTCTTCAAATGCAATGTCAATCTATATCTCCAGATGCCTTGATTTATTTCCCGGTCCGTCTCTTTATCCTTTCCTCTTTCAGGTCTCTTTACTCTTGCTCCCACTCTCAACAACCCCTTGCGTGCTAGTGACACCTCCGCCTTGCTTGGGGTGAAATGCTTAAAAAAAATGATTAATGTATAATTTGGAATATAAGATACACCGTTGTATAGGACGCACTGTTTTGTTTTGTTTTTTAAAGACAAATATTTGGGGGAAAGAAAAAACTACAGTCGTATTTGAAATTTATTTTTCGAACAAAAATTCAGTCAGATTCTTTAATCATAGCCCCGCCCAGCTTAATTTACGAGTAAACACCGGAAGTAAAATCTCCGTTTTATTTTTTTAACTTTCGTATTTTTATACATTTTGATACAAGATAAAAATCTTTCATTGTTAAATATTTGAGCTCAACAACTTTAACAAAATACTTCAATCACAATCATAAATAAGAAGGCAGGACATTATTTAACGAAGTAAGAAAGTACAAATAAAAAGATTTAAGATTGACAAGGGTTTCCGTTTCACTGAAGCAGACATTGAAATTATGATAGCATCATTGCCACCTCTATTTTCTTTCAGTCTTTGTTTCTTTTTCTCAGTGAAGCCCAACAGCGTCTTTCTTCGTGATGAAAACAGAATAGACCATAAGTTATGAGGTATAATTAGGGAGTTTCTGCCTTTATTTAATCCTTCATTCATTCCTTCTTTCTTTTTGTCTTTCTTTTTTTTCTTCGTTACTTTCTTATAGTGAAACGAAACAGCGTGTCACATGTTTTTTCCATCTTTTCTAGCGATCAAAACGGAATAGTCCATTATTTATGAGGTATTTAAGTGAGTTTATTTATTTTTTTCCTTCTTTCTACCTTCTTTTCTATCTTCCTTTCTTTCGTCGTTCCTTCATTCCTTCCTTTCTTGCAGTGAGACGAAACAGCGTCTGCGATATGTCTTTATCCGTCTTTCCTCGCGACCAAAATGGCATAGTCCATTATTTATGAGGTATTTAAGTGAGTTTATTTATTTTTTCCTTCTTTCTACCTTCTTTTCTTCCTTCCTTTCTTTCGTCGTTCCTTCCTTCCTTCCTTCCTTTCTTGCAGTGAGACGAAACAGCGTCTGTGATATGTCTTTATCCGTTTTTCCTCGCGACCAAAACGGAATAGTCCATTATTTATGAGGTATTTAAGTGAGTTTATTTATTTTTTTCCTTCTTTCTACCTTCTTTTCTTCCTTCCTTTCTTTCGTCGTTCCTTCCTTCCTTCCTTTCTTGCAGTGAGACGAAACAGCGTCTGCGATATGTCTTTATCCGTCTTTCCTCGCGACCAAAATGGCATAGTCCATTATTTATGAGGTATTTAAGTGAGTTTATTTATTTTTTCCTTCTTTCTACCTTCTTTACTTCCTTCTTTTCTTCCTTTCTTCCTTCCTTTCTTTCGACGTTGTTTCGTTCGTTCCTTCCTTCCTTGCAGTGAGACGAAACAGCGTCTGCGATATGTCTTTATCCGTCTTTCCTCGCGACCAAAACGGCATAGTCCATTATATAAGAATTATTGACAAGATGTAACGTACGCGCTAACTACGGAACAAGTCGACTTGTAATATGATAATGAACAAACAAAAATCTCATTTAATGTCAAAATTACGTAGTGCACATCGGACCCACTGTATTTGATGTCAGAAGATCTACAAGATATAAGTGTAGACAAGAAACTTTACTGACGCCTCCATAACACAGAACCAGACGATAAGAAATAGTCTCAATTTTAAGAGCGAAAACAGACGTCTTTTTTTTTTTTTTTTTTTTTTTAAAGAAGCTTGAATACTTTTTCGTATTTACAAATAGCAACGAATGTGGTTCAGTTTGTAAACGATGAAAAGATTTCTAATGGAGCAGGTGTCTGGCATTCTTTTTGTTTGGCCTTAGTTAAATTCAAAATGTATTCAGTCTAAACTTTAAAGATGGCCGCAAAAAGAATATACGATCAATGTGTAGATATTCCCACAAAATAATCGACGGCTGGCAGAAAGAAAGCTTTCAAGATATATGTATACAGTAAGAGTCGACTCAGTATCAGGATCTATGAAAATTATGCCTGTTTATTTCACTTTCTCATATATTATCATATTTGTTCTTACCCATACTTTTTTTTTTCTTTTCTCTTCTGCTTACTGCCGGCCATATCACGGACACCAAACTTAAGCAACGTCGTGCCTCGTCAGTATCGAGATGGGTGACCGCTTTGGAACATACCAAGTGCTGTTAGTTTTGATGTGCAGCTGGTATGGCATACGGCAATATCAGGTTGAAACCCCGGTTCTCATACGGTCATAGAAGTTAAGCAACGTCGAGTTTGGTCAGTATCTAGATGGGTGACCGCCTTGGAAAACCAATGCTGTAACTTTGGATGTGCAGCTGCTATGGCATACGGTAATATCACGTAGTTAAGCAAAGTCGACCTGGTCAGTATCTAGATGGGTGACCGCTTTGGAACATACCAAGTGCTGTTAGTTTTGATGTGAAGCTGGTATGGCATACGGCAATATCAGGTTGAAACCCCGCTTCTCGTACGGTCATAGAAGTTAAGCAACGTCGAGTCTGGTCAGTATCTAGATGGATGACCGCTTTGGAACATACCAAGTGCTGTTAGTTTTGATGTGAAGCTGGTATGGCATACGGCAATATCAGGTTGAAAACCCGGTTCTCGTACGGTCATAGAAGTTAAGCAACGTCGAGTCTGGTCAGTATCTAGATGGGTGACCGCCTTGGAAAACCAATGCTGTAACTTTGGATGTGCAGCTGCTATGGCATACGGTAATATCACGTAGTTAAGCAAAGTCGACCTGGTCAGTATCTAGATGGGTGACCGCTTTGGAACATGCCAAGTGCTGTTAGTCTTGATGTGAAGCTGGTATGGCATACGGCAATATCAGGTTGAAACCCCGGTTCTCGTACGGTCATAGAAGTTAAGCAACGTCGAGTCTGGTCAGTATCTAGATGGGTGACCGCCTGGAAAACCAATGCTGTAACTTTGGATGTGCAGCTGATATGGCATACGGTAATATCACGTAGTTAAGCAAAGTCGACCTGGTCAGTATCTAGATGGGTGACCGCTTTGGAACATGCCAAGTGCTGTTAGTCTTGATGTGAAGCTGGTATGGCATACGGCAATATCAGGTTGAAACCCCGGTTCTCGTACGGTCATAGAAGTTAAGCAACGTCGAGTCTGGTCAGTATCTAGATGGGTGACCGCCTTGGAAAACCAATGCTGTAACTTTGGATGTGCAGCTGCTATGGCATACGGTAATATCACGTAGTTAAGCAAAGTCGACCTGGTCAGTATCTAGATGGGTGACCGCTTTGGAACATGCCAAGTGCTGTTAGTCTTGATGTGAAGCTGGTATGGCATACGGCAATATCAGGTTGAAACCCCGGTTCTCGTACGGTCATAGAAGTTAAGCAACGTCGAGTCTGGTCGGTATCTAGATGGGTGACCGCCTTGGAAAACCAATGCTGTAAATTTGGATGTGCAGTATCTAGATGGGTGACCGCTTTGGAATATACGAACTGCTGTAAGTTTTGATGTCCAGCTGGCATGGCTTACGTCAATATCACGTTGAAACAGCGGTTCTCGAACGGTCATTGATGTTAAGCATTATCGACTCTGGTCAATATCTAGATGAGTAACCGATTTCGAATACCAATGCTGTAAGTTTTGATGTCCAGCTCGCATGGCTTATGGCAATATCACGTTGAAACCTCGGTTCTCGAACGTTCACCGTTTAAGCAACGTCGAGCATGGGCAGTATCTAGGTGGGTGATGGTTTTGGAATACCAATGCTGTATGCAAGCTTTGATGTCCAGGTGGTATGGCGTACGGCAATATCACGTTGAAACCTCGATTCTCGAATGTTCACCGAAGTTAAGCAACGTCGAGCATGGGCAGTATCTAGGTGGGTGATTGTTTTGGAATACTAATGCTGTATGCAAGCTTTGATGTCTAGATGGTATGGCGTACGGCAATATCACGTTGGAACCCCGGTTTTCGTACGGTCAACGAAGTTAAGCAATGTCGAACCTGGGCAGTATCTACATGGGTGAACGCCTCGAAAAACCAATGTTGTAACTTTAGATGTGCAGCTGGTATAGCATACGGCAGTATCAGGTTAAAACCCCAGTTCTCGTACGGTCATCGAAGTCAAGTATCATCGACCTTGGTCAGTATCTATATGAGTGAACTCTTTTGAATACCAATGCTGTAAGTTTTAATGTCTTGGTGGTATGGCTACGGCAATATCACGTTGGGACCCCCCGTTTCTCGTACGGTCAACGAAGTTAAGCAACGTCGAGCCTGGTTAGTATCTAGATGGGTGACCGGTTTGGAATTCTAAGTGCTGTAAGCTTAAAGGTAAGCGTTGTGCAATGGAGAAAGGATCGGATTTGAAATTTCATTCAGGTTCGTTACGGAAACTTCATCCCACTTAAGCAAATGGCGGAATGAAGATTCATTCTTACCAACGTCCTCATTTTTACTGTCGACATTGAGAAAATGGCTATTCTTTGGTATATCCGAATTAAATTGTGTCTTTGCTCTTCTTTTACCTTTTGCCCGTATCTTCCCATTCTCTCCCTTATCCTTTCGATTACAATATACAATTAATATTATTCATTATCGCAGGCCTCTGCTCTTAGCCCACTCTTTGTCTGTATCTTCCCATTCTCTCCCTTATCCCTTCGGATACAATTAATATTATTCATTATATATCATGCCTCTGCTTTTATCCCACTCTTTGTCTGTATCTTCCCATTTTCTCCCTTATCCCTTCCAATACAACTAAGATTATCAATCATATCGTGCATCTGCTTTCAGCAGCACATTGTATTTATTGTATACGCTGAGGAATTTTACCCTTTCTTAAACGATGTTCCTTGCGTCAATTCTTTGGTATATCTGAACCGCCAGCATCTTGTACTTTGGGACCATTATTACGTCAAACTTAAGAATGGTTTATTTCTGGGTTTGACCGCTGTTAAGCGAAAACGTGGATAAGAGGGGGAACAGTTCCTCATTATTATTTAATTGTGTATTTTCTCGAGACAGAAAACAATTACGGAGCGTAATAGCTTTTCTTTTTTTCTTTTCTTTTTCCATATTTGTCTTTCTTGTTTCTTTCAACCTCTACGGGACAGGATTGCCATGGAACTAATTTTTTTTCCAATTAATCGTCTCTTTTCTTTTGCTGACAGCTAGAGAATACATTCATGTTTCGTAATTCAATTTATTCTCCATTAGGAATGTTTTAATGAAAGAATGAATCTTGAACACGCGAGTTAAAATCACAGGACAATGGTGACAGGCATTTTTAAATTCCAGGTCTGCAATTCTTTCCATAGAAAGGTACTTTTTTCTTCCATTCCAGTATTTCTGAGATTCAAAACAACTCCGTGAAGAAAAAGCAAGAAACACAAACAATCAATTATTGAAAAACAAGCCATCAACATCCTTGCTCGCATCATCATCATCATCATCATCATCATCATCAGTGCTATAACCGATTGTGGTCATAGGGTGACTGCGTAGCTGGACACCTGACCAGCTCCCTCACCATATCTGGATTAAAACAGCCAGTAAGGTACTCATTGATTAATTGATTCATTCATTCATTCATGCGTAGCGTGTATCGGATAAGCAAACCTGGCGAGGACCGTCCCTCTCCAAGTCGACCCACAGCCGGTGATCTCCAATTTGATGCTCCCTCCACATATCTGGATTGAAACAGCCAGTAAGGTATTCATTCATTCATTTATTCATTCATACGTAGCGTGTCTCGGATAAGCAGACCGGGCGGGGACCGTCCCTCTCCAAGTCGACCCACAGCCGATGATCTCCAATTTGAAGCTTCGCTTTGATCATATGTAACTATGGAGTCCTGTCAATGTCCACATCCCGATGGCCGTTGACATTACAAGCAGGTTAAACTGCCCATTAAGAGGACTTCCTTTTTAATACTCATAATCAGAAAAGCCTGATGGGGGAACCGGTTTAGTCGCCGGTGACTCATCCATGCAGTAGGTAGTTTTGGATTACATGGTACCCGTCGATATATATACGATAAATTGTAATCTGAATGTTTAATATCGACGGACTCTCGCACAGGGTTTAAACATTGCAAATAAGGGTTTACAGAGGCGTCGTTAACGACCCCTGTGCTGTAAGCGGAGTTATGATCTCTTTATTTTACACGGGAGAAGCTGATCAGCCCCGGGGATTTCAACCCTGTAGCAGCACCTACCTCATCGCACTAAAGAGGTTAGGTTGATGCAATACCGATGCCAGCGTAACAGTAGTCGCGAGGGCTGGGCAAAAATACTTTTTTTTTCCTTGGCCCATATGTATGAGAATGCGCATCGTGCACTCCACGTTAAAACAACCTTGTATCACATCAAGGCTTGGTGCGGAGGACGGGTAAATATACCTGACTACAAGTGAAAACATCCCAGGCAACATTTGCCTGGGTAGCAAGGAAACGTATAGTCTGGTATTGTTCCTATAGAAAATTAGATCTTTTTTTTTCTTAAAGATCAAAGACAAAGTTAAGACAACGCTGACAACCTACGGTGTAGTAGACTAATACCCATGTAAAAGTGGCCATCTTCCGACTGAAAGTGGCTTACGGCTATATAGCGTTGAAACACCAAGCAAGTTAAGCAACGTCGAGCCTGGTCAGTACCTAGATGGGTGACCGTTTGGGAATACCGGGTACTGTAAGCAGACTTCCAATTTCAATTGGGATCATTATAGTCACTTGAGGACAAATACTATTGGAAAACGCATGAATAAACCTCTTCACCCCTTTCTATGGGTTAATTAGTAAGTGTTATATACCGTACCTATGAACACTAATAGGTATGTTCCAATCCTCATAAATACATTGTAAGTGGGGGTTAATATGCTGTCTAGTCAACCACTAGCAGTGGTTTACCTACTTCACGTCGCTGGCGAGTATTGTATTTTGTTGATGTTATAAAGATTACCATTTCATTTCCAACCTCAATTTTGGTCATTCCTCATTCAGTAATCCTTTCTAGGTTACAACACGACCTTAGATCTCTAAACTTAACAAGAATTGAATAGAATGTCATTCCCGACCTGTTATATACTGTACCTATAAACACTAATGGGTATGTCCCAATCCTCATAAATCCGTTGGACTCTATTGTAAGTGGGAGTAATATGGTGTCTAAGTAGTCCACAACTAGCAGTGGTTTACCCACTAAAAGGCGCTGGCGAGTATTGTATGTTGTTGATGTTATAAAGATTACCATTTCATTTCCAACCTCTGTGTTGGTTATTCCTCATTCAGTAACCATTTCTAGGTTACAACAGTAAAACATATATTACTAAAGCATTATCATCTCCAAAATATTCTTACAATCTAAAAAATATTTTCTGGCTTTAAATAACCTTAAAAGTGCTGATAAGTTGTAAAAACGGAACTATCAATCTATCGACTGAATACTTGAAGACTCCGGGGTAAATCGGCACAAGGCTTGCATATATAATCTTACCATTAGGCACAAGTATACATTCGACCATTGTTTACCTATAGAATCTTGTACAAACCAGAGTAATGATTACATATAGACTCAAGTATAACCCGGATTAATATTTATCAACAGACTTATTATTATTTCACGCATTAACGCGGCCATTGTTTACCTATAGACTCAAGTATAATCCCGTCGAATGTGTACCTACTTAATAAAGTACAAAGCCGATTAATTTTTGTATAACACACTCGTGCTAGGGTGGCCTTGGTCATCGGGCTCCAAACCGAACCTACACCTTTGTGCAAATTAATTGAAACAACCTCTTTAGTTCCCTTTCTTTTACCATGGGTATGAAGATAAACTACATCCGGCAGCAAGACGAGATATTGCTACCCGACCCAGTTTTAATTCGAGAGGGTCGCTAGGTTTTTAGACGTTGAAATTTACTGTGAAAAAGAAAAGGAAAAAAGAAGTATAGTTTCTTTTATCTTCTATCGCTTGCGAATCATTCTTCAAGCTTTTTGCATCTAAGTTAACATTGATCTTCAAAGGATTAAATGCAACGTCAATCGTCATCTTTTACCTTCTTAATTCTCTCTCCTTAATAGTATTTTTCTCATGTTCTCGGCAGAGTTACGGTTAGGGTTAAATCCTTCTACTCGAGGTACAGGGATTCGTACCTAAACTACCCTTTAACGAATCCCTCTACCTCGAGTGGTCCCCGGGCCTTTACAAGGTTAACCACATTATATAAAAGCAAAATTCCCCTTGCCCCCACCCCATCAAGTGTTTTCTTCATGTGTGAGAAGATTGTCCAGCATTCACTGCCAGTAGAAAATGCTAATTATATTTTTAAAGCCCGTGTTCTTGCCCGAGTGTTTGTAATTCTGGTAGTTAAGACAAAAGTTAACTGATTGTTTTTGTTTTTTTCTTTTCCAAGATTTTTTTTGCAGCTAAAAAAGATTCAGTAATATTTTTACTTCGTTTGTGTATGTGTACGTGTGTGTATGTGTGCGTGTTTCAAGTGTATCTATCTTAATACCAGTCAGTATTAAAGGAAAGAAAGACAATATTTTCTCTAGGATAAAAGCCGGGATATTTTTTTTTCTTCTACTCCATTGGTTTTGAACAATAATATATCGAAATGTTCGCCGACAGTATTTTCTTTGATGCAACGCACAAGAGACAAAGAGTGGACGTCCATTTTGCTAAAATTGCGAATTTATTTTGTTTGTTTAATTCCCTCGTGTACTACTTTGTTAAATTTTCTGTTTTGCATTTAACCTCAGCGCTTTATTCTGTCGCTTTCTGCATTCCATAATTTATGTAAAAAAAAAAACAACAAAAAAAAAAAAAACAGTGCTGTCCACTTTTTCCGGGCAAATCTTTACCACTGACTGTTTTCACACGGATGTTCTCCACGTTTATCTCTAGTCCTAGGTATGACGATAAACTACATCCAGCAGCAAGTCCTCTGATCGGGATATTGGAAGTGATGAGGAGCGCGGAACATCCTCTTAATTGCTATTGTTTCCAGGTCCACCGTGACCAGGGGTGGTAGCACACCCATAAAGGGAACCCCAAACAAAGCCACAACAATATGAAAGTATAGAAATACATTTTTATAGTAGAAATACCGGCAATACATTTATCTATAAAAGAATTACCAAAAAAAAACATGTATATAATGAAATGAATAAAAATTCATTTGCGATCAAAACATTTAGATTTCAAGCATTGAATAACTGTTGTAACATACCTGCGGACGATAATGGGTATGTCCCCATTCCTATAAATACAGTAGTAAATACTGTATGTTGGTCTGCAATTGGAGATTTGTCTCTAGCTGT